TTTCAATAGCTGCCAATAAATATTCATTTGACATCATTTTTTAAATATTAAATATTTAATATTTAAAATTTTAATAATTTAAATATAGAAACCTGATTCATTTTTAAAACCACCTGTTGATGTCAAAGCTAAAGAAGGAAAAGATAAAAAAGTGCGTTTTGAAGCAGTATTTTCAAAGAGTGGAGTTAAAGCAAGATGGTACAAAAACAAACAAGAACTTTTCTTGGGGAAAAAGTATCATATGAGCAGTCAAGGTGATTTACATGTTTTGGAAATTAACAATCCCATTGTTGAAGATTCTGCTCGTTATGTGTGCCAGTGTTTAGATGCTACTACTTCAGCTTTACTAGATGTAGATGGTAAGTAATAATTTCTTAAATCAAATGATAAATGTTACTTTACCTTAATTTTGTAATACAGGTGACCCAGGTTACGCACATAATGCATTTTATCAAATAGTGGTTGTACCATGAATTGTCATTTCCTGTATATTTACAAACTTTTTAAATTTTATATTTCTTAATTTGAATTTTAAATAAATGCATATAACATCAATAAACAAATAAAAGCTTGAATGTAACTTACATATATGTATTTTATAATAAATTTACATAACTTTGCATATTTATAGAAGACACAATTACATATTTTATTTTGATGGCAACTGTTTAAAAAAAAACTAACTTTAACTGGACAGCACTTTCTTCTTTTCATTGCATAATGTTTTATGGCATGTCATTTCTTGCTTAATTTCTGTTCTTATTGTGGCCTTCCTAAGTTCATCAGGATCTTATTCTTCTAATAATTGAAAAAGTTCTTCCTTTTTCTTTAAAATTAATGCAAGCCCTTTAATTTCCAATGATATGAAAGATTTGTTTGAGATATTGTGACAACATTGACACAAAAATGTGGAGACAATCAGAAGAAAAGTTTAACAAAGCAGGCCTAAAGTCAAATATGAAATTTCCACTCAGCATAATGATTTGGGACTATATGTCAGCAAGTGGAGTTGGCAAAGTTTGCATTTGCAATGGTACTTGATACACATCACTGTTTACAGTAATAAAATATCAAGATATTTTAAATTACTTTTTGATTCCATCTATTGAGGAAATATTTGGAGACAGTGAATGTTTTTTCCAGATGACAATGTTTCTTCTCACCAAAGCAAAACAGTTAAGGAATGGTTGTTACAAAACAATATTGGGACTATATGAATTAGTTCTGATATGAATCCAATTGAAAATTTGTGGTATTTATTGAAGAAAAAAATATTTAAAACAAAACCATGCAACAAGGAGGAATTGAAATTGGCTATAAACAGATGTTGGGAATAAAATTACACCAAATGAGTGTCACTATCTTGTAGATCAAATGCCAAAATGAATTGCAGCTTTAATAATAGCCATAGATGGTTCTACAAAATTTTAAACAAGTTTGGTCTAATATTTTTGTCAAGGAATTTTACTGGTCTAAAATTTTTGTCTCACACATTTAAGTTTTTTGTAATGTTAAAACACATTAAAATTCTATTGTGTGAATTGGTTTTTTTTATTAAATAAATATTGAATTTTGAGAAAGATAAAGGAAATTTGTAAAACATAACTAAAAATAAGTTATATGCAATCTAAACTACAAAATCAATATTTTTAAAGGGTGGTCTAATATGTTTGGCAGGAGTTGTATAATTTTCTAGATGAGATGATCATCTTTCAATTAATACTAACTTGTAGAATTATATAATTTTACAAGTTAGTATTAATTGAAAGATGATCATCAAATGATTTCTTAAATTTATTATTATTGTTTTCAAACTGAAATTTTCAAAAACCAAATAAAAAAGTATTTTTAATTAACTAAAGAAGTCTTAATGTAATATTACATAACCATTTTTGGCATTTTCAAGCTTCATCTTTAAATGTATCATCTGAACTTTGATGAAAGCTAAACTCAAACAGCTTAATAGAATATTATTAAAATGATTTAAATAATATATTTAAATGGTTTCATGAGTATAAAACTCATATAAATTATTTTTAAATCATTAATTTTTTTATTTTTTAAGAACCTGATCCTGTCTACAAATTCATTAAAAAATTACCAGCTAAAGAAGACTTTTTCACTACAAAGGAAGCTGTATTAGAAGTTTTAGTTAATACTGCAAAAGCACCTGTTAAATGGTATAAAGATAAACAAAAAATAGAGGTAACATTATAATATGTAATAAATTTTAAATAAGTATACTGTATTTCAGAAATGCTGTAATAAATAAAATGTTTTATTATTAGTCTTCAGACAGAATAACATTAATCTGTGATGGACTTGGTAAAAAATACTTAAAAATATTGGAAGCTGTAGAATCAGATACAGGAGAATATATGTGCAAAATAAATGAGGAAGAATTCTGTGTTTGTAAAGTATCTGTTACAGGTATAATTATTTTACAATGTTTTTAAAGGAATATTTATAACAAATTTTATTTTATATATTAACAATTTTTAAATTATATTTTTAGTTCAACAGTTTACATTTACTAGACTATTGAAGAGTATGAAGATACCTGAGAAAGACACCCTGACTCTTGAATGTGATGTAAATGAATGGGAAGGAAAAGTTACTTGGTTTAAAGGAGACAAAGAAATTACTGCAGGAAAACGGTTATACTTTATCTTATTATTAAGAATAAAGATTTAATTTAAATAATATATTAAAACTGAGTATCCATAAATATTAATTAAACTTTTAAATAATTTGTATCATTCAAGATTAAATAGTGAAATAAAATACTTTTTGAATTATTTGTTTTTATAAACTACTTATAGATAAATTGAAATGCTTAAAAATTTCTGAATTAATGTTATTTTTTTTAACACTATCACTTTTAACTAAATTTTTTATATGAGAATCATTAAGCAATCTAAATGTGTTTAATAATAAATGTTTTTGTGTTAAAATAATAAAATGGTAACTCAAAACATGTTTTAAGTTACCAGTACTTTTACAAATAAAGTGGGTGATCGGTTAACGAACAAATAAGATAACGAACACTTTCGCGAAAGATCTTTATGATTAGACAACGAACACTTCACTGAACAAATACAATAAGAAGCGACGTAAAATAACGAATACCGATTGGTCTTCCTTTGTCTTCAGGCAACAATTCGAAACTTTTCAGAGCGCGGGAGACATCGACATCGATGTTCAACCCAGTATATACTGATCAGATAGTATTCCCCCAAACTTTGAAACTCTCCCTTGTAATTCCAGCCTTTTATATTTCTGACAGAAACAAGTTTTTTACATTTTCTTCTGAAAAAGTGGATTTATGCCGATATCTGCTATTAATGATTTTTTGAAGAAGTGGGAGGATGTCAGAACAACGGTCTTAAATGGCATCCAAACCAGGTTGAGGTTAGGCCTAAGGATCTCTACAATTACAATGCTATTAATTACTTCTGAAAAATCATGAAGAAGACACCCCACAAACGGAAAAAAACATGACTGTGTATGTGTATATATATATATGTTGCAGTCAAAACCAGTTTTTAGTTAGAACGCGTTTTAACAAGTTGAAACTAGTTTATACTGGATGTCTTTGTTAAAACCCGTTCTGTCTAGTTAAAACTAGTTTTAACTCAAATTCATTTTTGACTAGCAGTAAATTCTAGTTTTAACTAGACAAAACAGATTTTATCTAGTTTATGTACTGCTGTACATGTTTTGATTTTAGATAAAACTAGTTTTAACTTTTAACATTACTTAAAACTAATTTTAGCTACATAAATATGTTTGGGGGAAATAAATAGTTTTGTATTGTGATTCGGGGGAAGATGCGTAACATTTTGCTTATGAAGGAAATTATAGCGCTAATTTGGGTTTTGAAGCCCTGTAATGAAAATATCATATTCTGGAGTATGTTTTTCAAATAAAATTTTGGAATTTATTAAAAAAAAATTGTATATTGTGTTTGCAATGACGACTTTTTTACTGTCTGGCATTTTAGGCATTTCACCCCAAGTATCCGGGTGAGATGCCAAATGCCATTAGGTAAGTTAACAAATATAATTGCATAAAAATTAATTTTTGAATTTCTTAACCAAATTTAATTTATTGCATATGTAGTACAAAGTACTTCATAGCAAGTATAACAGCACAGTATAAGTATTGTTAAGTTTCCGCCCGTTCTAACGTGCTCTATAGCTAGCTGAAAGCTTTTTTCAGTCCAAAAACCTTTTTGAGAAGTCCTTATATAATTTCCATGCATATCCTGCAATAAAAAGAACAAAACGAAAATTCAATTAACTAAAAATAGGCATGTTACCTCAAGAAAAATGTGGCATTTTTTGGGATTTTGTTGGGGTAAGATGCCTAGTAGAGTCACGTGCTCCAGCATGTCCTATCGGGATCGGCGGTAGCTGACAATGGAAACTTTAGAACCTTAACTACATCGTACATTAATTGTTATTTGCAATTTTTAATAAATTCTATTTTAACTTTTAGTTTAAAATTACTCTAGAAACATTTTACAACAAAAACTTCGTTCTTATCTAGCTTTTATTCTCCTGAGATGCAGAAAATGAAGTTAAGGTACCCAACTACAGCTTTCCGCACTCAATATTGGCCCAACGACTCATCATACAAATACATGACAATATGTGACATCATGGTTTGAAAATATCAAAAATTAGGCAACTTTTCCCGCTTAACATCTTACCCCGAATCACTCTATATGTTGCAGTAAAAACCAGTTTTTAGTTAGGATGCGTTTTAACTAGATACAACTAGTTTATACTGGATGTCTTTGATAAAACCCGTTTTGTCCAGTTAGAACTAGAATTTGCTGTTAGTCAAAAATGAATTTGAGTTAAAACTAGTTTTAACTAGACAAAACGGGTTTTATCAAAGACATCCAGTATAAACTAGTTATAACTAGTTAAAACGCGTTTTAACTAAAAATGGGTTTTGACTGCAACATATATATAAAAATGCAAGACTGTATATATATGTATTTTTATTATTACATATGAATAAATACAGTAAGAAAATATATATATATATATTTATATTTTTTTTTTGGGGTCTCCAGAACGAATTAATTAAATTCCTATTGAAACCTATGGTAAATCAATAATCAGTTAATGAACAATTCGAATAGTGAACAAAGTCTTGGAACGGATCATGTTTGTTAACCGATCACTCACTGTACTTTTCATGCTGAATTAATAAATAAGTTTTTATATTAAACTAAATTCATTTCATATATTTTGAAATAAATTTATTTCTTGAATTTAAAAATATTTAATTTAAAATTTAATTAAAATTTAGAGAACTTAGTTTTATTGTAATATTGCTTAAAATTATTATTTAATAATTCATTTATTTTACTTGATAACAGATATGAGATTATTTCTGAAGGAAGAAGGCGTAGATTAATTATAAAAAATGTACAGTTAACAGATGAAGGAGAATACAGTTGTAAAACTAATGCTGATGTTACAAAATGTGAAATAATTGTTGAACGTAAGTCTTTATATTTTCTTCAGAAATTGATGGTTTAAATTGTAATAAAATTCTAATTATATCCATAATTAACGTTTTTAATTATCATTTTAATAATTAGCTTTATTTGATCACATTTAATTATTACTAATAAATAATTGAATGTTATCAAATAAAGTTTGAATGTATTGATTTGTATTGAAATATAATCAAATGATTGTATTGACAACAAACAAATAATTCTAAAATATAAACTGTAGTATAGAATTTACTTGATTATTTATGCTCAAACTTAATGTTTTTTCTGTTAGGGAATGTTAGGGGATAGTTATTGTTCAAGTAATTTATGACCAAGAATCAGGATTCTGATTTTTTTTAATGATTTATGTAGTTTACAAACAAAGATATATATTATATATATATATTCTATATTGTTTATTAATCAATTTCAATTTATTTTAGTTATAATTCACAATCACAGTATATTATAGTTATATATATAACTATAATAATTATATATATATAGTCACATATATAATATATACAGTGAAATGTCAGTATAATGAATGCCAGTTTAACAAAATTTTTAGTATAATGAATTTACCTTGAATTCCTTGCCAATTTCCTAGTCAGCTCAATTCAAAAATGTTTCAGTTTAATAAATACCATTATAATGAAAATTTTAGTTTAACATAAAAATTCTTTCCATTACAAAAGAAAGGTTTCATTATGACAAAGTCTATAAATACATAAATAATTCTATTTTAGTAAATGATGAATATTACAAATAATCTGGCAACACTAATTTTAATCTTTAGTTACCGTTTAATTTTGGTGCTATTACTCTATAATTATTTCTTTTAAGTTTATGAAAAAAAGTGGAGAAAAACTAAAAGAAACAAACTCAGTTTTCTTTAGAAGAGAAAACAAAATAATGTTTTTGTTTAATTTTTTTTGCATGTATTAGATAACGTGCAAAAAGGAATTAAACAGAAAAATTTGCCTGATGGCCTGCTTGAATGCTGTGTCATAGTACAGGATTTTATTGAAAAAACTTTGATTAAACAACAAACAACACAAACAAAATTACAGATTTCTTTTAGCAGAAAAGAACAGCTTCAAGCAGCAATAATAACAATTAGAGGCTGGATTCCAACTAATCAGTACTACTGTACTGTTGACTTGGATGTTCATTCACAATATCTTTGATAATTTAATTTTTTATTACAGTTTAAATGTTTATTCAGATTTAATATAATTTATGTTCTGAAAATGTAAAATTTGGTTTCATATAAATAGTAATATATAAACTGTTTTTAAAATCTTTTCTACTTTAAAATGTAATATATTTTTAATTATGAATAAATTTCTTTTATCCTTGCATTTTTTACTATATTTCAATATAATGAATTTTGGTAACCAAAAATATAACAAAAATATTTCAATGGTTCTATAGTGTCTCGGATATACCAGGATATATCAAGTCTATGTGAAAGGGTAATGTAATGAGGGCCACAAAATTTAGATAAACACAACAAAGTCAGGTTTATTAAAAACACACAGCCATAGACTACAGCTGGTATCTTTGACTTATATACATGTACTATCGTGGCCAATTAGTATGGTTACTTAACAAAGAGAACAATGCTGATCCAAGTATTAAGGTGAATTCCCATTTTAAATGATTACATTTATGTACAGGATGACAAACTCATGCTGTTGCATTTCTTCTTGGTTAATTCTTTTGTAGCCAATTGTCCCATTCAACACACAGTAGTTAAAGTTCTTTAGTGACTCTTGAGCATAATCCACACATCCTATACTTGTATATGATGATTTCTTAAAGATGGATTTGGATTTTTTCGCCTCGATCAAACTGTTCCTTCTTCAGTTGTTCTCTCCAAGGTCCACCACAACCACATTACACCTTCTCCTTTCTATGAGCTCGGAAGTCAGAAAAAAGTCCTCAACACATGAAACAATTGAATTTATGTCCCCCACCATCTGGGAATGCCGTTTTAGCATGTGATCCCCCTTTCAACCAATCAACAGATTCAGATTGGTTTAGCAAAGAAAAGGTAATACCAGGAAACAGGATGGAATACAATGCAAAATATTATACAAAAAGTAGAGCCGATACAAAATTAACGGAAACCTGCTTATATACTAGAATAACATAGAAACATACAAAAGAACAATATATAACAGTAGTGTAGCACTACAGTTTCCACAATTTTGTTATACCAACCTTTCACTGGATATAGTTATAATTTATAATCACAGTATTATAATCATGATTGATAAATTATTTGATTGCTGATTTCTAAGAAAATATTTAATATTCAAAAAGTTATTATCTAATAAATAATCATATAAAATTTATTACTAACTTTTAAATAATTGATTGCATTGCTGTTTAAACTATAATTTTATATTTGATATTAGTATTGAATAAGTATGATTATAATGTTTTTTTAAATATCGTGATTTAAAAATTAGTTTTGTATTTTTGTTTGATAAAATGTATATTGCTAAAAGTTTCATTTGGTTAATTAATTTTGTTTAACTTTTATAAATAGTTTGAAAAGTGATAATAAGCTTTTCATTAATACTTACATTAATTAATATTTATGAAAAAATCAATGTAATAATTTTAATATAGAAAATACAGTTTATTTTAAAGACAGTTTACTTTAAGTATGTGTTACTTATTTCATCATATAAAATTTTTCATGTATAGTGAATTGTTTTGAGAAAGTAATTAGCAAATCAAAACATCACTTAAGAAATTTTTTAAATTTGTAATTGCTGCTATTTATGATGTAGTATTATCTTTAAAGTATACCTTTTTGGTTTTTATTCACTTATTAATAGCAAACTTATTTAGTTCATCATAGTCACAAAAATATTTGGCAATTATACATTTATTTATTTATCCATAATTTCAAAATATATATTTATTTATTTGCAATTTATTGTAACGTTTTTTATATAAAATATTGTTAAAGCAATAAATGCTCATTTAAATTAAATATTTCAATAGCTGCCAATAAATTTATGAAGAAATTAATGGATATGAGTGTCCTTGAAAGGGAGGAAGTAATATTGGAATGTCAGCTGTTAGATACTAATGCTAATTTATTGTGGTTTAAAGATGGTGTAAAAGTGAAACAAACAGACAGGTAACATTTATAGCTGAATTTGATTATTTTTTATTGTTTTTGGTATTTCTATATTTAAATTAAAATATTTTAGGACCATTGAACACATTTTCCTATCATATATAATAAGTTTGTCAGTTTTCAATAAAATTCCAAATTCAAATTCAAAGTGATAATTTTTATTTTAAATTGGTAAAAAAAAAGAACTGAATTTTATATTTAGCAAAGAAACATTTTTTAAATTTTGATGCAATAATATTTTTCTTTGAATAAAAAAAAACTCTTAAGAAACAGATTTCTTTGATATTCCTTTGATGTTTAAATGTTTTTTAACTTTTATGAAAAATTATCATTAATTTATACAGTAGAACCTCTATTATCCGGATTTTCGATTATCCAGATTGTTCAAAATAAACAAAAATTTTATGAATTTGCTGATTTGCACTTGGCGAATTACGACACTGTTTATGTACGTGATGGAATGCATAACTTTTTTTGTTTCAACAACGTCTCACCCAGCACAGTGGTCGTAAACTCTTAAATATATTTTACGTAGTAATAAAAATATAACTTGACATACGTATTTATAAATAATTTATATTCAAATTACATCATTTCTATGACCAAGGGCGGCGTAAGGCATGGACGACGTGGGCCACCGCCTATGCCTCGCGGTCCGAAGGGCCTCGCGCCTCGAAGGTTTATGCATTACTTAAAAGCCGCGAACGCGACGAAAAAATTTTACTCGTCATAAAACGATAAATAGTTTGTCAAATTTTTATTCATAAAAATGCAGTTTCAACTGCTTTTTATTTTATAAAATCCGTCTTCTTGCGCCACCAGAGGGCCTTTTAAACAATAGGTAGTCTGTTAGCGTTGGTCAGTAGTAGTCCAAATTCAATACGAACGTTTGTTTCTTGAAAATTTGATCATGATTTAAATACAGTATTTACTTTTAATATTACCAATATGTCATCGAAAAGAAAACATGTTGTATTATCATTAAAAGACAAATTAAATTATTTGTTTCGATTATCCAGATTTTTCCTTATCCAGACTACCTTCATCCCCAATTAGTCTGGATAATTGAGGTTCTGCTGTATATGTTTTTTCACAGTATGATTTTTTATTGTGTTTTTTACTCTGGCAAAAATATCAATTTATATTGTTTGAAATAGCACAGTTGGAATTGGTTACTATTTATTTATTTATTTATTTTACACAATTAGGAAATGCCTGACTGCAAAAGATATCCACCTCTCCATTTAACAAAACCCCAACAATATAGTGTGATAAAAATCAAGAAAAATAACAAAAAAACATATAAATAAATATACTAAATGTATATTTATCCAGTAAGATTTGTTTAAAATTTTGAAATAATACTTAATTGAAAAAAATGTGTTTTAATCGTTTTAATTCTAATGATCCCACTGCAGAATACAAAAATCTTGAATTTTTGGGTATACTCTAAATTTAATTTTTAGAAAATACTTCATTCTATTACTCTGAAGACAAACCATTAAAGATTTCATTATTTTGTTTATTCTGGTTAAAGTCATTTCAATATTTTCTGTTAATTAGAACCTAATTCAAATTTTCAGTTTTATTAAATGGAATTCAAGGGTACTATTTATTTCCTAAATATGAGTTCCCATGCATTGTCAAATATTTGAATATGAATTTGGTAATATAAGTGAAAAAAATCTAAGTGAAACTGTGTTACTCTAATTTTCAAACAGTTATTAATCAATAACTATAATCAATATCATCAGTACCAGCTCAATGGTAACTTGCACCTAAGGTAAAACCAATTTTTGCCACCCTTGCTTTTAGATTGGTTACCAATAGATTTGTAGTGCTGGCATTTTTGTACAAACTATTTATAAACAACCATAATATACATTTATGGGATTTTATTATATTTGGCTTCTTTTGATTTTTATTTATTTTTTTCTTCCATTTGATCATTTTTGACCATTCATTTCGTTACTTGATACAGTTGCCTAATTACCTGATTCATCAAGCCAACCCTGAATACCATTATATTAGAATTATTTTTAAGTTTACTTTTGTTACTCTACTAGTACAAATACTTTTATATTTAATAACATTTCATTGGTTATTTTATAAAATTAAAATTTATATNCTTTAAGTATGTGTTACTTATTTCATCATATAAAATTTTTCATGTATAGTGAATTGTTTTGAGAAAGTAATTAGCAAATCAAAACATCACTTAAGAAATTTTTTAAATTTGTAATTGCTGCTATTTATGATGTAGTATTATCTTTAAAGTATACCTTTTTGGTTTTTATTCACTTATTAATAGCAAACTTATTTAGTTCATCATAGTCACAAAAATATTTGGCAATTATACATTTATTTATTTATCCATAATTTCAAAATATATATTTATTTATTTGCAATTTATTGTAACGTTTTTTATATAAAATATTGTTAAAGCAATAAATGCTCATTTAAATTAAATATTTCAATAGCTGCCAATAAATTTATGAAGAAATTAATGGATATGAGTGTCCTTGAAAGGGAGGAAGTAATATTGGAATGTCAGCTGTTAGATACTAATGCTAATTTATTGTGGTTTAAAGATGGTGTAAAAGTGAAACAAACAGACAGGTAACATTTATAGCTGAATTTGATTATTTTTTATTGTTTTTGGTATTTCTATATTTAAATTAAAATATTTTAGGACCATTGAACACATTTTCCTATCATATATAATAAGTTTGTCAGTTTTCAATAAAATTCCAAATTCAAATTCAAAGTGATAATTTTTATTTTAAATTGGTAAAAAAAAAGAACTGAATTTTATATTTAGCAAAGAAACATTTTTTAAATTTTGATGCAATAATATTTTTCTTTGAATAAAAAAAAACTCTTAAGAAACAGATTTCTTTGATATTCCTTTGATGTTTAAATGTTTTTTAACTTTTATGAAAAATTATCATTAATTTATACAGTAGAACCTCTATTATCCGGATTTTCGATTATCCAGATTGTTCAAAATAAACAAAAATTTTATGAATTTGCTGATTTGCACTTGGCGAATTACGACACTGTTTATGTACGTGATGGAATGCATAACTTTTTTTGTTTCAACAACGTCTCACCCAGCACAGTGGTCGTAAACTCTTAAATATATTTTACGTAGTAATAAAAATATAACTTGACATACGTATTTATAAATAATTTATATTCAAATTACATCATTTCTATGACCAAGGGCGGCGTAAGGCATGGACGACGTGGGCCACCGCCTATGCCTCGCGGTCCGAAGGGCCTCGCGCCTCGAAGGTTTATGCATTACTTAAAAGCCGCGAACGCGACGAAAAAATTTTACTCGTCATAAAACGATAAATAGTTTGTCAAATTTTTATTCATAAAAATGCAGTTTCAACTGCTTTTTATTTTATAAAATCCGTCTTCTTGCGCCACCAGAGGGCCTTTTAAACAATAGGTAGTCTGTTAGCGTTGGTCAGTAGTAGTCCAAATTCAATACGAACGTTTGTTTCTTGAAAATTTGATCATGATTTAAATACAGTATTTACTTTTAATATTACCAATATGTCATCGAAAAGAAAACATGTTGTATTATCATTAAAAGACAAATTAAATTATTTGTTTCGATTATCCAGATTTTTCCTTATCCAGACTACCTTCATCCCCAATTAGTCTGGATAATTGAGGTTCTGCTGTATATGTTTTTTCACAGTATGATTTTTTATTGTGTTTTTTACTCTGGCAAAAATATCAATTTATATTGTTTGAAATAGCACAGTTGGAATTGGTTACTATTTATTTATTTATTTATTTTACACAATTAGGAAATGCCTGACTGCAAAAGATATCCACCTCTCCATTTAACAAAACCCCAACAATATAGTGTGATAAAAATCAAGAAAAATAACAAAAAAACATATAAATAAATATACTAAATGTATATTTATCCAGTAAGATTTGTTTAAAATTTTGAAATAATACTTAATTGAAAAAAATGTGTTTTAATCGTTTTAATTCTAATGATCCCACTGCAGAATACAAAAATCTTGAATTTTTGGGTATACTCTAAATTTAATTTTTAGAAAATACTTCATTCTATTACTCTGAAGACAAACCATTAAAGATTTCATTATTTTGTTTATTCTGGTTAAAGTCATTTCAATATTTTCTGTTAATTAGAACCTAATTCAAATTTTCAGTTTTATTAAATGGAATTCAAGGGTACTATTTATTTCCTAAATATGAGTTCCCATGCATTGTCAAATATTTGAATATGAATTTGGTAATATAAGTGAAAAAAATCTAAGTGAAACTGTGTTACTCTAATTTTCAAACAGTTATTAATCAATAACTATAATCAATATCATCAGTACCAGCTCAATGGTAACTTGCACCTAAGGTAAAACCAATTTTTGCCACCCTTGCTTTTAGATTGGTTACCAATAGATTTGTAGTGCTGGCATTTTTGTACAAACTATTTATAAACAACCATAATATACATTTATGGGATTTTATTATATTTGGCTTCTTTTGATTTTTATTTATTTTTTCTTCCATTTGATCATTTTTGACCATTCATTTCGTTACTTGATACAGTTGCCTAATTACCTGATTCATCAAGCCAACCCTGAATACCATTATATTAGAATTATTTTTAAGTTTACTTTTGTTACTCTACTAGTACAAATACTTTTATATTTAATAACATTTCATTGGTTATTTTATAAAATTAAAATTTATATATTATATATATATATCTTTCTATTTAGAATTACAATTAAATTATTGGAGAAAGGTTTTCATCGACTTATTATTAATAATTGCCAATTGGATGATGCTGGTGAATACAAGTGTGAAAGTAAAGATCTAACAACACAATGCAAACTAGAAGTTATAGAAGGTAATTATTTTTGAGTTTCAAAACTCAATAGCTTTAATTTTATAAAATGTTAAATATATGAGATATAATTATTTAATAATTATATTAATTGATATACAAGAATAATTTGAATGAATTTTACACCTTCAAAAGTTTATAATAACTATGTATGGTACATGATTACTTTTTGTTATTATGTATGATATATACTGGTAGATTATTTCTTCAAAAACTCTGATAGTTTTATTTATAATTATGTATTTTTACTGTGATTTGTAGATGATTCCCCAAATGTATCCAGTCTTCTCTTCTCATACTTTATAAGAGATACAATACAATGAATTTGTAATAATAGTAATACACTCATTGCCATAAAAATTAGTGCACCAAGAAGTTGTCGGAATCAGAATTGTACATGTGTGAGTGTAATAGTGATATAAGTAAGTGATTACAAAATTAAAGCTAAAGGATCATTTATTGCACGAATAACTACAAATGAAAGGTGGTTTCAGCACCTTGTTGGGCCATCTCTAGCATGAATACATAATGTGATACAGGCGGGCATGGAGGCATACAGGTGCCATATGGTGTCCTGAAGCATTTCAGTCTACAGTTGCTGTAAGTGGTCCTCTAGTTTGGCCAAACTCCTAGGCTGTCCAACTTGGCATCCCAGATGATCCCAGACATGTTTGATTGGTGACAAATCAGGGGACTGGGCAGACCAGGGAAGTATGACAATGTGTCCTTTGATACTCTTGCTCTGTGTGGTCAAGCATTTTTCTGTTGGAAACTGGATCTTGGGAGCCCTGCCAACACATGTGCAACACATATGGCTGCAGAATGTCACTAATATACCACTGGACTGTCATAGTCTCTTGGATCAGAATTAGAGGTGACTGCTTGTTATATGTGATGGCACCCCAGACAATCACACCAGCTGTCGGGAGTGGTGTGCCACTCCAAAGCATAGACAAGATTGAAGCGTTCACTATGGGACTTCCAGACATGAACACAGATGTCATCACTACCCAAACTGAATCTGGATTCATTGCTGTAGACAACCTGGTTCCATTTCATTGTGATCCAATTCTGTCAGGAGTGATACCACTCCAAACAGAGGTGATGGTGGGTGGCTGTCAATGGCAGCATATGTAATGGCTGCTACAATAACATATGTTTCTCACCCAGGTTCTTCAAAATAGTACAGACAGACACGGGCCTGTAATGATGGTGCCACCTATGTTTGGATGGCAGACAACAATACAGCTGGCTGTGTGTATGCTTGTCAGAAGACCAATGTTCCTGTCAGGCTAGTGGTCTGCCGATGGTGTTCTGAGCTTGGGTGCTATGTGTGTGAGCTCTCTCTCATCCACTGGTCTCAACACCTCCTCACATTGTTGTCAGAATGGCTTAGGTGGCAGGCTATTTGGCAAGATGACCATCCAGCTTCTCTCAGGTTGATGATCCTTTCCCTCTCAAACTATTGGGTTGTTCAGAAAGTAATTTCGTTTTTTTTCCGTTGAAAACAACACAATATTTTTATAATAAATAAATATTTTGTTGAATTATNTCGCAGTAGTTTCCATACCCCTACACTTATTGGGGATGTGAAACGATAAGAAATAAATTTACACTGAGAAAAATATCGTATCCATCATTCGTATACAGCTTCTCTCAGGTTGATGATCCTTTCCCTCTCAAACTATTGGGTTGTTCAGAAAGTAATTTCGTTTTTTTTCCGTTGAAAACAACACAATATTTTTATAATAAATAAATATTTTGTTGAATTATTTATCAACCATTTTAGTCAAATATTTGTTGTTATCGTTTCTGGTAGTAGCATGATTTCACATTCATAAAAGTTTTGATCGTTGCTTACAAAAAACCGATCCAAGCGATTTTTGACATTGTCATTTCAAGTAAATTTCTTACAGTTAAAAAAAATTGTACAGACTGGAACAAGTAATAATCTGAGTGTGCTCGATCTGGCGAATACGGTTGGTGTGATAGCATGTCCCATCTAAGTTATAACAGTTTCTGACGAGTTACCAAACTTGTGTGAAATTCGACATTATCGTGGTAAAACACTACAGCTGTTATTTTTATCAATTCTGGCTGGCTTTTTCTGTTTGATGATATTACTCAATGGCAGTACACTTTTGAATCAATTGTTAAATTGTCTGGTAAAAGCTCCAAAAAAAATTTCCTTAAAATCCCACCAAAGATAGCATCTCTCCTTAAGAACATGTGGAACTCATATATCAAGCTTTGAAACAAAATTGGTAATCATAAACAGTTCAATCTGACAAATTTAATCTCTTAGTGATTTCACGTGTTGCTATTCGGCAGCTTGCTTCAATCAGTACCTTTTATTTTGTTTTCATTGGCTTCAACTGGCCATCCAGAATGTGGTGCATCTTCAATATTGAAATTGCCAGAACTAAATTTTGTAAACCAGTTTTGTCACTGTCGTTCTGTCAATACATCTTCTCCATACATGTCACAAATTTTTTTCTTGCTTGAACAGCATTCTTACCTTTTTGGTAATAAAAGAGCAAAATGTGCCAAAAATGCTGCTTTATATTTTCCATATTTCATGGGACACAAAAAATAAACAATTTCACAAAATCAAACAAAATTTTTTACAAACAAGCCTTAAAATGCTAGTTGTCAAAATATATAATGATAATACGGTTTAGAATAAAAATGGCAGGAAAAATACGACTAATTCGTATAGTGGTAAAAAAACGAAATTACTTTCCGAACAGCCTAACACTTGATTAGTTACAAGCCAACCAATGCTGTATGTCATCAAGCTAGATAATGGCTATAATACTAATAAATTATGAAATAATTTGATACTAGAGGAAGGTGTTAGGTGCCATCTCTTAATAAATTTAATTATAATTTTTGATTAAATAATTTAGAACAACTGGAAGAAAAAAATTGGCCCAGAGCAGGACTCAAACCTGCAACTCTTGCTTACTGTGCAGATGTGTTGCCAATTACACTACTTGGACCTTTGGTCCGATCTTATCTTCCAGTATATATAACATTATGTTACAACCATTGACAGTTATTACAGTGCCGGCTGGGGACGCATCAAGCACCCACATCCAGTAAACACACTCCAAAGGCACTTAACTGGCCATTTCAAACCCCAGCAAGGTATATATAAACAAATAACATCACTACAAACTCAATACTTTATATAACTAGACTGGAGGGAGGGAACTAGACTATATCATCAGACTAGATAACAGCTATAATACTAATAAATTATGAAACAATTTGGCACTGGAGGGAGGCGTTAGGTGCCATCTCTTAATAAATCTAGCCTGATGACATACGGCATTGGTTGGCTTGTAGTTATATAAGGTATCAGGTTTGTAGTGATGTTATTTGTTTACTTGATTAGTTGTTTATATGGTCTTCAATAGTGATGTAAAGATATCTTTAGTGATACAGTGTCCTCTGCAACAGATAAACTACAGACAGGATTTTAATAGTTCAAGAGGACACACTTTAACACCTTCTGCTGGCATTATGCAATGAGCCATCATGCTATAACTCTAAATCATATCCATATCTGCTTGAGACTTATATGCCACGTTTCTCAGCGATGTGACAACTCCTTTTGGTGTGCTAATTTTTATGGTGATGAGTTTATATTATTGCAATTATTGCAAACTCATTGACAATTAGGTTATATATACATATCTTCTTTATAAAAATTTGTATAAATATTTATAGAAATATTCCCACTGGAAAATTTTAAGTAAGAGATGATTATATCTTAGTGGCTATATCAAAAAGACAATGACTAGTAGAAGTGTAATAATAATACAGTAATTAGAGAAATTCTCTGTCTAAAATGATCATATCTGCAGATAAAATGTTTCATGTGGACATATCTTGAAACAAATGAAATTTTTCTTGTCTTGTTAGAGCTCTGAGTGAACCAAAATAATAAAATGTAGTTAACGTATTGAGATAGATTATTAATTATAACTTTCCTATTAGATGTGAAATTATTAAAAGAATCAATAATATGATTAAAAGAAGATAATAAATAAATATATAATTAAATAGAATAACATAGTTTAACCTGTCCCATGGTATTCCCGAAATATCTCGGGTTGAAACATAATGACCTTGACCCGTGGACCCACGATATCTCATTTCTGTATTGGAACGTTTTTGACACTAGATGTTGCTAATCATCATAATTTTTATATTAAAACTAACTTTTGAAATATAATTATTTTTGTTTTTACATTTTTTAATATGTCTATTTTGTTTGTGCGAAATAAAAAAAAAATAATTTTGGACAATACAATAGCCACAATTATTTTTTCTAAAATGTGTAATTTTCGTTAGGTTTAATATTGACAAAAATTCAACATGAAGCAGTATGCATCGGAGAAAAATTTCAACATGGAATAGGTTAACGCCATTTTGATTGAATATTTATATACTGTTATATAATATCCAATTAAAGTAATAAGACAGATTATGTTATTGTCATTTAATGATTACATGTTATTACACAAATCATTACATAAATCAGACAAAATTATATTAAATGTAGACATTTAATATAATTTTGTCTATCATATGATAGCCATTTAATGTAATTTGTCTGAATTGGAGCCCAGTGTGGTATTTCATGCCCCTCTATTGTGGTGCTTATTAAAATGCAAATTATATAAACAAAATTAAAAGCAGTTATGTTTGTTTCTAAATTTGTTGTTGAAGAGTCCCTAAATTTGTAATTTATTTGCTACAAAAAATAAAAGTTTATTTCTTTTATATTTATAAAATCAATAAATTTTGTAATAATTATATTTTTTCATATCATTGTAAATAATTACTTTAAATTTAAAATTAATAAAAAAAATATATAAACTGTATTTGTAATTACATATATTATTGTTAAATTATTAATGAAGTTTTTATGTAAACACATATTTTATAATTATTTATTACTTATCAGTAATAAAAGTTATGATTTTTATAGTTTTACAATGTTATTACATTTATTAATAAATTAACATATTAAATTTTAATGTCCAATATAATTTTATCAAATCTGAGTTATTTTCTTTCTTTAGCTGAAAGAACACCAGTTATTAAACTTGACAAATTTGATTATGTTGGTGATGCTGGTAAACCATTGCTCATTGAAATTCCATATTTAAGTAAGCATTATTTAATACATTGTAGAAGATATATATAATTTGTATCATTAAAACTATTTATATGGTTTTTTTCTAGTTACGGGTCAAAGGACATCTAATGTTGTTGCTAAACTTTTACGTGGTGAAAAAGCTCTCACTAATAAAGATTGTGAATTAATCATAAAACCTGATAAAGTTATGCTTACACTCAGAAAGCCTGTAAGAGCATCAACTGGAGAATATGAATTCTCTTTAAGTAATTCTCAAGGAGAAGCAAAATGTAAACTTAAAGTGGACATTTTAGGTAATCAATCAATAAATATTTAAGAATTAAAGAAAAATGTAATTAATGAAATATAATTCTCAATTAAAATACATTTAATTTTTTTAATAGATGTACCTAAGCCACCAGAAGGACCACTTGAAGTGTTTGATGTTTATAAAGATAGATGCAAATTAAGTTGGAATCCACCAAAAGATACTGGAGGACTACCTCTACTGCATTATATTATTGAGAGACAAGATTTAGGTGCTAGAGGGGGATGGGTAGAAGTTGGAAAATCTGAAACAACAAAATATGATTGCACAGATCTTATAGCTAAAAAGGAATACAAATTTAGAGTTAGAGCTGTTAATGAAAAAGGAGTGTCAGAACCATTAGTAGCACCTAGAACAACTCTTGCTAAAGATCCTTATGGTAAAGTTTAATACATCTCAAAAGTATAAATTTAAACTAAGAAAAATTCTTTTAGTAATAGTAAACTAATTAGATTGCAATATTTTAGAATAACTAAATATTTTAATAAAATATTAATTTCTGCAAAGTTAATGTATGAAATAAATTTTATTATTGATACAGAATAAGAGTTAAATTGATAGTGATTTGAAGCAAATAGTGGAAATGCATAAAATTGATATTGCTATTACTCATGAATATTAAAATTAAAATTGTGTTGTGTATCTTCAGCTAATCTCAGGAATAATATCCATGAAATAATGCATGCAATGTTAGATGGACAATTATTTCTGAAATTAATTAAATATTACTTTTTAATTTTTTATTCATTACAATATAATAATAATAGTAGTAATAATTAACTTATTTTTAGATGAGCCAACCAAACCAGGAAATGTTGAACCCACTGATTGGGATAAAGATAGAGTTGACCTTAAATGGACACCTCCTGAATCTGATGGTGGAGCTCCTATAACTGGATATGTAATAGAATATAAAGATAAATTTTCTAGGGATTGGACTACTGGTCCAGTAAGTTTTAACATTTTACAGATAAATGTTTGTCAAAACATATTAAAAAAATCCAGCAATGAGTTGCTTAACTTTCCTGGCAACATTTAAAACTGCATGTGGCACCATCTGTTATGATATTTTATTTTAAAAACCTTTTTTATATTTTTAATTATTATAAAATGGCAAAAAGCTTTAATTTTCAGGGTAGGGATGGGTTTTATAAAAAATTGCAAATGCTAATAATGAGTAAAATGTCATTAAATCTGACCCTACTTGAGATACATGATACACGACCTCCCCTTTATCTTCCCACCCTATTGACCTTTAACCACCAAAATTTAATAACATCAATCCCCTAATCCTTCTCCCTGCAAAATTTCAGAAATGTTTGAGAAAAAACACGCGAGTTATTAAACTTCAAAGAGAAAGAACAAAATCATGCCACCCACCTACATGCACACATACACACATGTGCACAGATTCACTAACATCCATACATAAAGAAAAAACCCCCAAATTTTTTTTTGCATTTCTTGACATTTCAAGGTCTTGGGACCAAAAGTGTAAAAATCTTGGGGATTGTTTTTGACTGATTGCCATACTTTCCCTCTGTTATATATAACAGAGCCAGGAAAGTAATATATATTATAATTAAGTTAATTCTAACCTATAAATTGAATTTTATTCATTGTGTTTATTATTTATAAACTTTAATCACAAGCTAGCCCCTGAAAACTCAGCACTAAAACTGTTGAGTTTTCAGGGGCTAGCTTAAGCTACACTGAAATCAATTTATAAACAAGAAAAAGATACATTAGAGATAAGTATTATCTTCATATCAGAACTTTTTATTTTAGATTAATTTTACATGCTTATTATTTCTAGCAAATTATACCAATAAAAATAATGAGCATATCAATCAAACACTACAAGTAAAAAAATGTACATCTTGTCACTGTGTGTATTGTAAATTATTTACCTAGATATTCTTTTTATTCTTTATTAATGATTTCAAAGGTAATGACAGGCAAGAAATATCTCCCAAAAAAACAATATAACTTTCCTTTAAAACTATAAAATTAAAAATTATCTTAAAATACAATTTATAAAAAATGGTTAATAATACAAAGGACACAAATTTACAAATATATATATAAAATAAAGAAATGAATAAATGTATAAATATTATAAATCAATTTAAAAATGTAGATAAATCTTTAATGCATAATTAATAAATAATTGTAATGCCATTGCTGTGATTTATAATTGATGATAAAATATTTAATTTATTCCCTTTTCTATATTGTAATTCATTCTGTAAAAAATTTTTTTTGTCATTTTTTGATGAAAATAATGTTTTATAGGAAATTCCTGCAGATGAAACTAAAGGAAGAGTAGATGGCTTAAAAGAAGGTGTACAATATGAATTTAGAGTTAGAGCTATTAATAAAGCTGGACCTGGTGAACCAAGTGAACCTAGCAAGCCAGTGATTGCTAAAGCCAGATTTGGTAAATATAATATTATTTTAAGATGTTCAAATTTAAAAATGTTTTAATTCTTTTAAAATTTGTGTAATGTTATATAAATGAATAGAGAATTCTATATGATGTAATTTAACATTCAGCATTAAGCATAATAACAATGTTCAGCATTGAAAATATTAATATTTTAAAATTTTGAATACTTTTGGTTTGTTTAGACGCAAAAATTGCTAGATTATGATGGTGATGGTAGGTATAATTAACATTATCTAACAATTTTTTGAGTTTAAACATATGAAAAGGATTAAGGATTATTAATAGGATTAAACAGTAGTTGTTTTCTACCAGAAAGAGACAGTGTCTGATTTTATTTCATATTAATAACAATTATTCCTACCTACTTTGATTACTATCACATTTCTTTTGGCATTGTGTTACTGTTCAACATCTTTTCTTTGTTTGTTTAAATTAATTTTCTAAACAATGGTGATAACAGTTACTCTCTTAGATGAATGTCAGCTAACAAGGGTTATAAGAATGAACAGTGCTAAAGCTTGAATTAAAATTTTTCCTTGTCCTCTAACAGAGTAACTAGGAATAATCTCTATTAAGATTCTATTGTTACTATGATAGTTAACTGGAATGAATCCAATGGCCATTTACTAAGTTGAATGCATAAATTATAATGATATCAAATAAAACTTTTTTCAGGGAAAATTAACTTTAGACAATAATGAAGCCTATTAATTTAAAAGTGAGTAAGTAAGGAAAAATAAAGCTCTTTATCTCCAGGCAAGGAAAGGCACTGGCCAAAATGTATGTCAATATTGGAGATGAATAAGAGAATGTACAACATATGAATTCTCCAAAAGAAGTCTAGAGTAGTTCCCAGTTTAAGCCCTATCCTGGCCAGTTCTTTTCTTCCAGATGATTCTAAATTACAGTATTTAATAAATTATTAAAATTATAATTATTCATTTAGATAAGAGATGGCACCTAACGTCTATCTCTAATAGCAAATTACTTAGTATTAATCATTAAATTACCAGATTTATAGCCCAATTATTTAAGGCGATCATTTGATTATGTATCTATTTGAATCATTTTCCAAGTAAAGATATTTGCATTTGTTAGTTTTTGATAAAAATTGTTGTTTGGAGAAAGCATGCTACAATTGTTATGCTTTTAACACATTCCATTTAACTAAATTAAAATTCAAGTTTAATTCATATTGTAATTAACAAGTTAGCAACATAGCTGAATAACTCAACTTTTGAATAAATATTTTTTTATTTAATTAGAATAATTCAGAATAAAAAATGCTGAATACTCTTATATAATGTTCTGAACTAAATACTAACATAATTTTTTTTTATCATATGTCATTCTAGAATTATGTAATTTTTAAAATAAATAACGTCAGAAGCTAATATAATGTAATTTTATTTTAGTCAAGCCATATATAATAGGTGATGAAGTAAAAAATCTTGTTCTTAAGAAAGGACAAATGATTAAATTTGAAATTAATTTTGGAGGTGAGCCACCTCCTGAAGTGAAATGGGATCTAAATGGAAAAGAATTGAAAGCTTCCAAAAAGTAAGTGATATGAATTATTTAATTTTTCAGTTTTAACATCAAATTATGGAAAATAGGATTATAAATAAATATAAGAGCTTTCTTCTGGGAGTATAAATAATTTAGAACTATATAGTACTTTCAAGGACAAATTTTACCTGTAGAATTAACAATATTTTTAAAATTAAAATTGTATAAATAAATAAAAACAAAGATAATAATATAAACATCATTAAAAAGTTTAAAGGTATCATAACTGTTTAAACTGTAGATCTGTTGCTGTTGATTATAGCTAGGCTGCAAATTATTTTTTGGTCTAAACATTTTTTCTGTATGTTTAAATATGTGAGATGAACAGAGACTTTATTTAGGTCTGTTCAAAAAAAGACCAGACTTTTGTCATAGTGCGCAAACCATTGCACCGATCAAATTTCAGTGGTGCTACTTACAGGCAAACTTCAGTAACACAATGGTGTGTTACTGAAGTACACAGTAACTGATCAGAGTGCAACACCACTTTGGCTTGTAGTACTCTGATCAGTGGCAATCTAGAGCTGTTGAAGTGAACAATTTGCTTTAATATATTATATTTCTGCAGATAATTGCTGTTGATAAATTTTAAACAAATCTTTTAATTTCAATATTTAAAATTAAAAATTTTGCATTTTTGCAACTAATTTGGTTTAGTTTTCAGTTATAATAAGTTTGTTTTAATTAATTGATTTAAACAAACTTATTTAAACAAATGAAGAGGACTAATAAAACTTTTGAACTAGATGGAATATAATAAGCTGTAAATTAGTTAATTATCTGTAATTGAATCATATTAATATATTTCAAATTAAATTAATGCTATAAATAATCTTACGCATTCTATACAGTTCTAATTTATTTTAAAATTAAAATATAGAAATTTTAATCAAAGAATTGGTAGATAAACTATTTGATTTCATTAATAAAACTGATAATGGCTATAAAATGGTATTTAATAAATAAAAGTCTTTCAAAAAAAAGTATTATGTTCTTGCTCTTGTAAAAGATCTAATATAATTATCAAATGAACTGCCAGATTTTTTTATTGAACTATTATGGCTAAATAAATAATAAGTAATTTGGCAGGAAATAGATGGCTAGGCCACAATTCTTGTTAAATTTAATAATTAATAATGATCTAATATAATTTTACACTGTGAGTTTCTCATGCTGTCAATTGAAGAAAAATGTTGCACTGCAACATATATAAACAGGACTGGTTACTATTAGGAAAATCTAAGTGATTGTCTAGGAATGCCAAGATATGAGGGCACCAGCCTGTATATGTAATGTAAATGTAAACAAAGAAAAAATAGATTGTTGATTAGTATTAATTAATAAAAGGTTTTTAAAATGTTTGTAATGATACTATTTCATAAATATCCACGTATGGATGTATAGTAAATGTGTGCTTGTATGAGTATGATAATACAGTAGAGTGTCATTTATCCAAATCAATTGGGGACTGAGGTCATTCGGATAACCGATTATGTACGAAAAAAGATATTAACCTATCCCATGTTGAAATTTTTCTCCATTGCATGTCACTTTGCATTGAATTTGTGTTGATGTTAAGCCTAACATAAATTTTTTACAATAATAATCATGGCTATTGTATCGTTAAAAATTATTTCTTTACTTTGTACAAACAAAATAAATATATTGAAAAATATATTGGGTTGTTCAGAAAGTAAGTTCGTTTTTTTCCGTGGAAAAAAACTCAATGTTCTTATGATAAATAAATATTTTATTGAATTATATGTTGACCATTTTGGTCAAATATCTGTTGTCATCATTTCTGGTAGTAGCACGATTTCACATTCATAAAAGTTTTGATCGTTGCTTACAAAAAACTGATCCAAGTGATTTTTGACATTGTCATTTCAAGTAAATGTCTTACAGTTAAAAAAAATTTGTATAGACCGGAACAAGTAATAATCTGAGTGTGCTCGATCTGGCGAATATGGTTGGTGTGATAGCACGTCCCATCTAAGTTATAACAGTTTCTGACGAGTTACCAAACTTGTGTGAAATTTGACATTATCGTGGTAAAACACTACACCTGTTTTGTTGATCAATTCTGGCCGCCTTTTCTGTTTGATGATATTACTCAATTTGTTTACTCGATTGCAGTACACTTTCGAATCAATTGTTAAATTGTCTGGTAAAAGCTCCAAAAAAAATTTCCTTAATATCCCACCAAATAGAGCATTTCTCTTTAAGAACTCGTGGAATTCATATATCGAGCTTTGAAACGAAACCAATTTGTTTCAAGTACTCATAAACAGTTCAATTTGACAAATTTAATCTCTTAGTGATTTCACGTGTTGTTATTCCGCAGTTTGCTTCAATCGGTACTTTTATTTTGTTTTCATTGGCTTCAATTGGCCATCCATAACGTTGTGCATCTTCAATACTGAAATTTCGAGAACGAAATTTTGTAAACCAGTTTTGGCACTGTCGTTCTGTCAACACATCTCCACCATACATGTCAAACAATTTTTTTCTTGCTTGAACGGCATTTTTATTTTTTTGGTAATAAAAGAGCAAAATATGCCGAAGATGCTGCTTTCGATCTTCCATATTTGATGGGACACAAAAAATAAACAATTGCACGAAATCAAACAAAATTTTTTACAAATAAGCCATAAAATGCTAGCTGTCAAAATATATAATGATAATATGGTTTAGAATGAAAATGGCAGGAAAAATACCACTAATCCATCTAGTGGTTTAAAAAAATGAACTTACTTTCTGAACAACCCAATAAAAACAAAAAAAAATTATATTTTGGAAGTTAATCTAGTTTCAAAAATGTTCGATTCAGCATGACACAGTCCGACTGGAACGCTTTTGGTTAACCGACATTTTGATTGATTGGCTTTAAGATAAACAACACTCTACTGTAGATGTATATAGGCAATTTATAGGATGTCTAAATTTTCTTTGCCTAGAAGCATCAGAAACTATTGAACCAGCCTTGGATATAAAATTAGATTAATTTGTATATTCACTTTTTACACCATCTGGAAAGTTCCAAGACTGATTTTTTTACCCAAGAGACAAGTAGTGCAATGTACAGTACCTGACTACTGTATAATCTTTTAGTTAAAACATTCATGTTTTAACTAAAAGAATGTTTAGAATGCTATTGTCTATTTTTTTTCTTAATACTAAAAATAATACTTTTTTTTTATCTTTCGTTTGTCAAAAAATTTGTGATGGACAAAGAAGGGCAGTAAACTTAGTAAAACAGCTATAGAAACTTACAATGCCATGAAAATTTTGTATGGAGGCAATTGTTTATCACTTTCAAAGGTGTTTGACTGGTGTAAATGATTTCGAGAAGGGAGGCAATTACTTGAAGATAATGCAAGATGTACGGCCACAAGTTTGATGAATGTGTATGTTGGGAGAATTTGTGAGTTGTGCCTCCTTCCAGCAGGCACAACTGTGACTTCCTGCTTCTACCTGAGTGTGCTGAAATGTCTTTGTAACAGGATTCAGTGTGTTTGCCTCGAAAGATGGAAAGCAAAAGATTTTTTCTGCTTTATTACAATGTGACAGCCCATTCCTCTGGAATTGCACAGCAATTTTTAGTTCAAAAAGAAAGTTGACTTCTTTTTAGTTCTGTGCTTGTTCACCCACCATATTCTTCAGACCTTGTTCCATATGACTTTTTTCCTCTTTTCATTGCTCAAGATGCACAGGAAGGATAAACAGTACAACAATTTATAACACATTCAGGCTAATATGATATGAGAATTGAAGAGGATTACAAAAGAATTTTCAAGCAGCTTTCAGTGGTTGTATATATATTGTCAATGGTACATTGAGACAGGGGGTGAATGCACAGAACAACATAAAGATTAATAATCTTTATGATTTGAATTTATTTTATTTCAATTATTTATATATTATTATTATTATTATTAATTATAGATGAACCTGGCAAACCAGGCACTCCAGAATTTGTTGATTGGGATAATATCAGTGTAGATTTGAAATGGGAACCACCTAAAAGTGATGGTGGAGCACCAATTACTAGATATATTATTGAGAAGAAAGAAAAATTTGGCTTTAATTGGGAAAAGGCTGTAGAAGTTAATGGTACAACACTTGAAGCTAAGGTTACTTCATTAATTGAAAGGCAAGAATATCAGTTTAGAGTCATTGCTGTAAATAAAGCAGGACCTGGTGAACCTAGTGATCCTACAAAGAATCACTTAGTTAAACATAGACGATGTGAGTATCATTTAAAATTATATTTGAAAATTGCAATTGAGTTTGATTCTCATAATAATTTACATTTACACAGTAAAACCCATGATTGATCGCAGTATGCTTGAAAATATAACTGTTAAAAAAGGAAAGACTGTTAAATTGGATGTTAATATCAGAGGTGAACCACCTCCAAAAGTTACTTGGATGTTAAAAGAGAAGGTATTATCATCTATTAAAAATTAATTTTAAACATATACATATGTTTAAAATTAATGTTATATTTTTTATTACACTCAAAAAAGTTCATATAAAAAATAATAATAATTAATTTTTATGCAGGTAGTGGAAAGTGTAGATAATGTTGAAATAGTAAATGTGGATTACAACAGTAAAATAACTATTCATGACAGTTTAAGGAAAAACAGTGGAAGATATACCATCATAGCTGAAAATGAACATGGTCGTGATGAAGCTGATGTTGAAATTCTTGTTTTAGGTATATTTTTAAATTTATTGCTAATAAAATATTTTAAAATATATGTCTACAATCATGATTTACAGACACTATAAATCTAACTCTATGGTAATTAATACTTAATTAATAGATTAAATAACTTTATATTAGTAATTATATAATTTGTATATTATGTTATATTCATCAAAATACATAATTATTATAAAATTCAGTATGACTAACATATTAATATTGATATTATTAAGAAAATATTATTATGTATAATTTTATTTTAAAAATGTGAAGGAATGTAATAAATGTTGAAAATTTTTATCCTAAAATTATAATATTGACTAACTTTTATATTTTTAATTTTTATGAAGTCTTATATTTTCTAAGAGCAATAATTTATTTATT